CATAAATAACCCCTCGAGATGAAGATCAAGTTTTATTTTGAGAAAACAATTACTCGTATTGATATTTTTCCAAATTGCCTGTTTTTTCTCAGCCCAGTTTTTCGCTCATATCTCAGAGTCCAAGGGAAATAGCTATTTTTTTGTTTATACATTTTTTATAGATAATTTTACAAGCTACGAAAAAGGTAGGGATGAAAATATCTGTATCTGTCTTCAATTTTAAAGTATTCCCCAAAAACTCGATAATTGCTGAGTAAAAATTGTAAAATGGGGGAATTATCGAGTTGTTTGAATTGAATGGAAGAAATGAAATCGTGACGGTTTGAATTGCGGGTTGATGGAGTGGAATCGATGCAAATTGATTGATTTATCGGGGGATTTAATCTGGATATTTGGGGAAAAGTCTGGAGCTACCTACCACGGCGCCGGACTGAGGCCCCATAATTCCTTTGTAATTACCCACCTGGGGGCCCGTAATTATTCCAGGCCGAGAAGTTGAAAATGATCTATTCCACGAATATTCGAGGGCCAAAGCAGAGAGACTGTCTGCACCCGAAATTGCACCGATTTCTCCATCAGTCGTCGCCAGAAGTAAATTGAAAAATTATTCATAAATTAATTGACTATTATTAATTAATTGTTTTGCTAATATCTATTCAACTATTTGCATTTGGAATTGGTGGATTTTCTTGTGAGTTGTCGATCCAGATAAGGGCACATTGTTTCAAATTGGATAGAAAATCGAAGGGCGAAAAAATTATCCAAGTTCTGAGTTATTTTGTCGGAGGATTTTCCCTCATCCTCTGGAATCACGTAGTCTCCGAGGGACGCGAAAGGAATGTGTAATGTCGAATGAATTCCCAGAAGGAACTCGAAATAACGTGAAGGAAATTCCGCAATGGAGAATCTCAAAATCCATAAACATAGCGAATCCGGGTTGAATAAATAGCGATAGAAATATTCTTTCGCATTCTTTCAAAATTTTTCAAAACTGACGAGATATTTTACGTACAAAAAATTGCAGTATTTTTATCGAAAACTATTGAAAGTTCATTGAAAGTTATTGAAAAATTGTTGGGTGCGTTATCATCATAGTAAACAATAATTCTGGGATGAAATAAAAATTTGATTCGTGAAGTGATCGCAGTGAAATGAAATATTTTCTCGACAGGGCAGTCGTGCCCCTTCGGAATTTCTCATTCATTGTTGCATATGTCCCCAGTTATTCTTACTGTTTGTCCCGATGTGACGTCATCGTCGAGATCAATCATTAAGTCAAGTCTCAACGATTGGGACAATCATGCCACCACCAATCAGAGTCTCAATCCTCAACTCTTTCCAAGTACTACTTTCCCCTCTTCCATTGTCTTCCATTATTATGTTTTTCTTTTCCTTGCCACGAGCTTCCGGTTTTCACCTTCGAAATGTCAAAAGTCGTGGAGCCACTCCATCATTTTATTTTGAAAAAAAAAACACCGTAAATTATCTATTCCGATTGTACTGGAAATGCTTCTTCCACCGAGGCCTGTTTATCTTGAAACTTAAGAGAAAGATATTATGATATTTTTGCAGACTTTCTGCGAATGAATAATTTTCTAACAAATTAATTCGAAAAAAAAATCGGAAATGGTAGGAGTAAATGTGAGACCCAAAGCACGTAATTCACGAAATAACAACAATTGCTACATAAATCTAGAATAATTATGACACATCTGCCATGTCACCTGGCGCGTCGAATTTCGCAATCCCCAATAGCATTTCCGTTCTACATTCAAGTGTCTCCCGCCACTAATTACCCCATAAAAAACATGAAACTGAAAGAAAAAAACGTCCAGAAAAAAAGCCTTCAATTCTCTAATAAATACCTCGTTAGTCCTCCGGAAAACCATAGTTAAGATTTTTCTTGCTATTTCTCACACATAAATAATGCGAATAGAGTGCCAGATAAATATAATCTTGCAATAACCCCTGAGAGACATCTCCCCGTGAATTCTAGGATACAATTATACGGTTGGATTGGCTCACGGAGATTATAACAGGTCTCGATGACGAATTCACGAATACATCAAGTTGTCTTGGGAAACAAACGTTATTCAACGCCTCGAGGATTTCTGTGTTCCAGTTGACTCCAGATGTACTTATTCTTCCAGCCCCATTTTTAACAAATATATCAGCACGAGATTCCCTGGATACTGGTAACGGAATTTTTTCTTGCACTGTATGGAAAATGATATTTTACGCACACCCCGCGTACGCAAAACGGCACTTTCCACACGTGATGAAATAGAATATTTTGGTACGGATTGCGAGAAAGTTCCTTTGGATTGGTGGAAGGTTTATAATACGGGTCGAAAAAGAGTGATATAATAATTTTATGCGGAGCGTGCGCAAAATCCCACTTTCCACACGTTGCGGTGAAATAGAATATTTCCATACGATTAAGAGAAAGTGTTTTCGGAGTCATAAGAGCTTTATAACACGAAGCGAAGACGCGTGATGTAATAATTTTACGCAGAGCGTGCGCAAAGTCCCACTTTACACACATAGTAATGAAATAGAATATTTCCGGACCATTGCGGGAAAGTATCTGTGGGCTTGCGAGAGGTTTATAGTACAAAATGAAGACGAGTGATATAATAACTTTGCGTGGAGTAAAAATATATGGTTTGGTCCTTAGAAAGGACGCAGAAGGCTATAAGTGACAATAACTCGGACTAAAAATGATTCATTCTTCCCTCGTTGCCACTTAGTACATGTTGAGACGCGCAACTGGACAGTTGGCTTACAATCACAATTGAAATCACTTTTTCCTCATTCTGTCAAACAGAAAACAACACAATGTTATATTAATATTAGCAATTATATTCATAAAATTCATCCCTTAACATTTTAAATATTAGTAAAAACTTGTTTGTTCAAATATTGAATAAAAGTGGCTGCGGCAAAAGCCAGTGAAAATATGACGGATTATCATTTCAAGGTATGATAAATAAATGTTTTTTTTTATTCATTAACGATATCCAAGTTATTTTGTTTATTCCTGAGAACAGTAAATCATAAAAGAATATTATTATATAAATTCTAAGATGTAATAAAACTCTAAGTACGGGCGAATCTTACAATTGAAAAATAATTGGTTTCAATGTAGATATTGATTGTTTATAAATGATTAATAAAAATAGTCGTCATTTTGAAAAATCGTATTTGTTACAAATGATTTTATAAATCTTCTGACAGCAGTTGTAATCCGATAAAATAATAAAAACAAATAATAAGGAGTTTTTCACGGTAGATTTTGTGGATGAGTTTTGGAAAATGATCTCGACATCAAGAGTTATGATTCTATTTGTCATAAATATTTATACAATGTTGTAACAATAAATAGAGAAAGGTAAGGCCAGTAAGAAAACTAGGATTTCTTGTGTCTAGCATAATAAGACAGCTTTTTTCCACAACTTCCTCAATTACCGAGGAATTTCGCATGTGATAAACGATTTTTTTCTGACATTAATGCCAACTATTGCAAAATATGTTTTTCTAGAGCTTTCGATAATTACGTGGCTAATTACCATTGATAAAACATTCAGCATAATGTGCGTCATTTATTAGCAAATAAAACAACTGGATAATTGCATTCTTTATGAACGACTATAGTTGTTGCTAATACACTAGCAATTTTCTTTTAAATGGTTTTATTTTTTCAAAATGTTTATTTCCCTGTTCTATTCGATTCTACTCTTTCACCCGATAGTGCATATTTAATTGTTTATTTATTTTATCCTCAACCAATTAAATATTGATTAATTAATTTTTTAAAACAATTCTTTGAGTGATCGACAATCGATCGATTTTTAGATAATCCCTTCATTTATTTTTCATTCATTTATTATTATTATTCTTGTCAATTAAATTCAAATCGGAAGTAATGACAATGAATTAAATTCAATTGAATTAATGAAAAAAAAATTTATATACTATCCTCAATCATCTCCAGATTTTCGTCAAATTATTTTCTCTGACATGATTCTTGAAGGTTTGGCTAAAAATAATTAAACAATCGATTTCTTCATTAATTTCGGTGCTCAGGCGCATGAGGATGAGTGAAAATCTCTCGCAAAATTTCCGCAGTGAAGTCATAAATCGGAACGCGATTACTTTTACTCTAATCATTAAAAGCCAATTATCGGAATGACTGATATTCCGTGAAACCATTAAGCCACATTTTTTCCTGTGTTTTTCCAATCTATTCCATAATTTTCTCTTGAGTTTTTGAATGACTCACTTCATCGCCATTCCTACGTACTCGAACTATTATTTTCCGGTTCAATTCTTATCAACAGTCGTAATTAATCATTAAGCCATTGATTTCCAATTTGGTAATTACTCCCTTTTTTTTCAATAAAATTGTCATTTCAAACAAATTGTTCATTTGAATGAAATAAACAATTCACTTAAAATCTCATTTACAAATTTCAATCTACTATCTCCGGGGTATCTCATTTCAGGGTATTAATTATATAAAATTCATTACCTTTATCGATTAAATTTTCAATTAAATTAATTAACCTCATTAACGTGCATAAATATTTGCATTTAAAATTCGCGGTTAAATATAATTATCTTTGTTCAATCCATAATAAACAGATATGTGGGAGTAAATTAATTCAGTAGTAGTAATTATTTCCCCTCAATGGATGAGCAATAATTACAAAAAAATTAATGAAGAATTAAGTTAATGAGTTGTTTTCATAGAAATAAATGACATTTGGTCGAACCAATTGGAAATTTCTACGATTCCATCACAAATAGACTTTCATAAAGCAAAAATAAAGAAACGAGTGACAGCAACTGATTTCTGTCATCCGGGTGTCCAAAAATACCCATTCCCCACCCATAATCCCCTGGCACATGCACCCGATGGAGACGACGAGCCCCAGAATGAAAGATCCCCCCCATCACCTAAAAATGCACCAACCATAATCAACTTTGTGATTAAACAGATGGAGAATCGGGGATACGAGGATGACTCTTTGAACCTAGAGGACCAGCACATCCATCAACAGCAGGAAGTCACCATAAAAGTATCGGAAACCCCAGACACCCACGTCTACGAGGACATAATCATAGGAATGGATTCACCGAATAAAAGTGTCTTTGATAATCGTTTGGAGATGAGCTGTACCTCACAGGGTGTCCTTCAGAGGAATTTGACGTTACCATTGCGTAGAAATAGTGAATTGAATAAAGACGAGATAACGAGGTACTCGGTACGAGTGACTAGTACAGAGAGGAATCCGATGCCGAGAGAGAGCAAGCTGAGTGATGACAGTTTAATGGACATGAGTGAAAAACCGAGGAGAAGACGGAAAAAAGATTGCAAGCATTGCAAGATGAAGGCCAACGAGGAAGCAAAGAGTAACAGATATGTCGATTCTGGGAGGAATCCGACAGCCAATTCCATTCAGCCGATATTCACCATTCCTGATGGAAGACTTCCAGGATTTGGCATTCCCACCAGTCAAAATTCATGTTGTGTCAACTCATGCGCTGTCTTTGCCATCGGTAATGGGGGATTTTATGACAGAAAAGTCATGAGTTATGATAAGAACGAGGTCGAGCCCAGGTTGACCACTTTGGGAGAGGACAGGGCTCTTATCACACCTCCAAAGCATCGGACTGGCATGAAAGTCAATTCTATTTATTCACAAGATCAGTGGAAGGCGAAGGATCATGGGGGAATCGTCGCCGAATTCAAGGATCAAGCCTTTCAGGTGAGCAACTCATTTTTATTTTACACTGAAATTTCATATAATTATTTAAAATTATAAATCATTCAACAAAATCGTTCATTTTATAACATTAATAATGTCGTACTTGATTTGTTAATCGAATCATTCGGGAAAAATCATGGAGAATCAGAAAAATTCAGGTGAAAATGGAAAATTTATGGACTTTTGTAATGATTTATTTAAAAAAATGCTATCAAATGTCAGAATTAATGGGGTAAATAGTGGAAGAGTTGAAGCTGAAGATTTGATTTTTGATGACTTCCAGAAAAATTGCGGGAATGAGAAATTGTTGATTGTGTTAACGAATCTGTATTGCCTGGAGTGACTAACAAAGGCAGATTGATAATTGGCAGAAGGGACTCTGGGTACAGCTAGCAACAATTTTCTACTATTCAACGTCTGACGTTTTCTAAACCGACTGTTGGCTTTTTAATGATCCCAAACAGTAAAAGTTGTAGGAAATAAGTTTTTATCCGAGCGTTTGACTGGCCTTCCGTCTCGTTACCTCGTAATTAACCGCCAGAGCCGCAGTGAGCTGTGATTACTTGTTGTGGGATTCCCTCACTTGTTAACTCCTATTCTCTCCAACTTTTTACACCACTTTTTAGACAACAAAACGGCAAATACAGGGAACAATCATTTTTATTTACTCTATCCTGGGAATTATTTTCACGGAATTGTTTATTTTAGATTGCCGCCGCTTTTTGTTGCTTTGCAAAAAGCCTCAAGCGGCTTGTCATTAAACTTTTAAGTGCTATATTCATATTATATCGTAATAAAGAAATTATTAAATAATAGTGCATGTCAAATGTTTCACCTTTGAATAGTTTATGACAATCTAGGGGAAAGATAACACACATTTTTTGGTTGTCATTAATTTTAAGGGCAAAGATTTTTTTTTCTATAGCAAATTTTTGATTGGATTTTGTCTGGGGATTTCTATACATCTCTAGATTATTCTATAGGTAGAACATTCAATCTATAGGTTTTTGGCGATTTCTCTAGATTTTTATATACCAATTCAGTTTCAAATCGTCAGTTTAAAAAATCTCAACTTTGCTTTGTCTCACTCGATTTTCTTATCGTTCACTTCAGAGTAAGAGCGTCAGAGATAACGTCGAACGTTTTGAGCCTCTGCCAGAGGAATTGGCAAATGAAGTAAGTGCATGGAGCATTGCGCGTACAATTTTTCTTCCGGATGAAAATTCAGCTGTGGCCGTAATATTTAGCCATTTACCTCTCATCGCTCGGGATGTGGAGTTTGAGTAACGGAAATCGTTAGAGCGGATTTATGGGGTGGAATGGAAAATTGGAGTGGCTTTTTCTCCGATTTTCTAGCGGGATAATTGGGATGCACTTGGGCGGCGATTCATCTGTTGATTCCTCCAGTCGTTCAGTGCAGTGTCCAGGGTTTTTACTTCAACTAATTACTTTTTCCACTCTTTTACCACAAACTCCAGCAATATTCAAATTATTTCTCGCGTTCTCCATTCAATAACACGTTTATTTATACTAAAATCAGGAATAGATAAACCCCGGAATCTGATTAATGCACAATTATTAGTTTCGAAATTAAATTGCTTTCTGGAGGAATAATCAATAATGATTATTATTCAATAAAATAGTGAGTGATTAATTGATAAATGGGCATTACTAATTACTCTGAAGATGAGTATTTGGATATCTCAACTGGGTCGATGGGGATTTCCAGTGGATGCACTTCAAGGATAATATGGAGAATATTTAAACAAATCGAATGACTGAGTAAACTGTTAAGAATTCTCATCTAGTGACCACTGACCACGCACTGACTCGTTATTACTGAGAATGAAAACATTCGTGGAGTAGCCTTGATATTAAATATAAAAAGTGATGCTATTTCGGATGAAAGAGGACGCTTTAATGTAACACGAGGACGTGAATTATGTCAGTGAAGATGAATCAATGCAAAAGAGAGCAGTTGATAGTCCGCGTGCACGCGGATATTCACCAGGTGACAATTTCCATCGAATTCCCGTGATTCTTTTTCGGGGATTTTCAATGAAATTTTTTTATCACTATTAATTTCTTTTTTTAATTAATTAATTTTATGTTAAGTCGTAATAAATGGGGTATTGGCGGGGATTTAATGTTTTCTTTTTTTTTTCAGAGAGCGTATTCGTTACCAACACGCACTCAAAGTCCGTCCTCTCAGAATCGGTTGAATCTTCGGAGAAGTGTCCGAGGAGAGCCACCACCCCAACCCGCACGACTCCGAAAAAATCGTCACGGATGGACATTGCACTTTGCTCGACCGCTGGACGGCACGGGCTGCACCAAATCCATCATTTTACTCCTAATCGCTGTCCTGGCACTACTTGGCATCGGTGCAATTGCCCTCTATATTGTCTTCGGTAAATATAAATTATATATAAGTATACGGGATTAAAAATAGTGAGCCGACGTTGTGCCGACATTGCGCCGACATTGGACAAACACTGCGCCGACATTGCGCCAACATTGCGCCAGCATTAAATCAATCAAATTTAATAATTAAAAAATTAACAAAGCAATCATTCTAAAATTCAAAATCAATCGAAATATCATTCAAACGCAGAATTTAAACTGCAGTTGTTAAACTTGGAACTATTCTCTTGTGAATGATCATCGGAATAATTATTAATATAATGCAAATGATGTTGTTTCGTGAGAGCGTCTCGCATCCTCACGTTCAATTTCCTCCTAGAGATGATGTTTTTTACAACTTGGGATAATTATGTCATGCGGAGTTGAAATAGAAGAGACTCAATTTGCAGTAAAATTAATTGAAACTTTAATCGAGTGGTCACACCGAGGGGCTTTGACGGCAGACCGAGCCAAATGAGTTATGGATCTTGACGGAAAAAAAAATATATTGTGGGATGCACGGCCGAAGGATTTTTATTTTTTTCGAGAGGATGGCTTTATTGACGAGCCAAGAGCAGAGAAAATAGGAAACAGCCCGTTAAAACCGATGGACAAGTGGATGATTGCTTTTTTTAATAAATGAGTGAAGGCTCTGTTGCTAATAGATTAACAAATTGCTTCTGCCTAGATTATCTTGTCCAAATCCCTTAATTAACTATTTTTTATTCATTCGATACGACTATTTTACAAATCAATAAACAGTTTTTTTTTTATTCTAAATCAATAATCTATTCGATTAATATAATTAAATGACGGAGCAAGTTTATTCATTTCTAATAACAATTTGTTTAGAACAAGAAAAATAATGGGAGGAAACATGACGTCAGATTTTTGTCGTTGATTGACATATTATTAAAAATCATAAGAGTAATTGTTCTATAGAAACAACTTTAAAATAAAATAAAACTGAAATAAAAGTGAACTAAATATTAATATTGGTCAGTGAAATTTGATTGGGAATTCAATTTATTTAATTTATAAGGAATTGTTGCAGAGCCTGAGAAGCTCCAAATAATTCAGCAATACCTTCGCTCGAGTGAGCAAAGCCCTCACCCCGATAACGTAACAACACCAGTGAAACACTTGATGGAGACAGCAAGACCCGTGGAGACAACTCCACTCCCAAGCTTCGTTCAAGTACCATCGACGACAAATATCCCACTTCCTGAGTTCAGCACCACCGTAACAGAGTCACAGGAAACGGAAACGCCAGTTTCACCGAGCGTGATAACACCGATGAATATTACACGACACTGCGATGACTGTTACAAGGGCGAAGTGTGCGTTGCACTCGTCGACGAAGATGTGCCGGTATGCAGAATTGCATTGGATTCCATGGATCCAACTGGATGCGCTGGTCTCTGTATCGTCAACAGGCAAAAGTGCCATCGACTCGATGTCGACGCATTCAGGTATCTATTTTTTTTTCAACCCTTGGACACATCCACTTGACAGATTCTCCCAAATTTACTCGATTCATATTTATTTATTTTATTCATTTATATTATTTATATTGTTTACTAAATTAATTATCAGAATTGGACATCACATTTGATAGATATTTTATTTTATTATATTTGTATGTGAATTTATTTGATTTATTCATAGTTTTTACGAAAATATCTAGAAGAATGTGAGTGGGAGTAATAACATTTCTGAGAAAATGTTATTACTGCTATTACTGTATTATTTTTTGAATGCAATTTTTTTTGTCCTTCGTAACTAATAATTCCTGTATTTAGATGCGTCGAGGTGCAGCACAATTGCTTGGACAACGAGTGGACGTGTTCCAATAGCCTATGTATTCCGTCAGTGAAAAGATGCGATGGACACATGAATTGTTACGATCATTCAGACGAGTATAATTGCAGTGAGTATCGGGTTTTATTTTTAAGAATGAATGAGGGATGATCTGAAGGCCTTGAAACCGGGGAATTACCCCAGTTACGGCTTTTTTTCTATAGCCTCTCGGTTTCGATGATTGTCGTATGGCTTCCGGTAGCATTTTTCAGTGTTAGGACTTCGGTGGAAAAATATTTCCATTCATAAGAAAAATAAATAGAATCCTTCCCAGATTCGTAAAAAATCATTGAGTTACTTTCAATTTATTACTTTCACCAAATCAAATGAAATCGAAAATATTCTATAGCAAATTAAATTCTAGCGATTTCTTTTTCCTAGAAAATATTTATTGCTCAGGGACTTTTACTTCTTTTTTTTACATACTGATCTCAGAGTAATAAAGAAAATTTCCGGAAAAAATTCAACAAACAATAATAACAAGTAGCGAATGAAATAAATCAATTTGTTAGAATTCCTATGACTTGCCTGAGTCTTCTTTCCTGGCTATGGGCTGAAATAAAAAATCGTAAAAATAGGAAAACTAGGGGTTTCTACACGTTCATCAATGTTCACAGACTGCGATCTGCAGACGCACTTTCAATGCGGCAACGAGACGTCATGCCTTCCCCTGGAGAAACGTTGCGACGGAAAAATTGACTGTTGGGATGCAACTGACGAGATTAACTGTACCCTCGGTAAGTCATCTCAATGAATTCTTGTCTCCTGCGATCTTCATTCTTCTCCCCCTTTTGGCTCCCACCAAGACCCTGCAATCAGTCTGTTTGATACACGCTTTGTTAATTAGTTAATTGCAAGTGAAGAGTATACTTTGGTAATTGGCGTTATTATCCTATCCAGGGATTTTCGCGTTGTTGATTTATTGCCGTAGGAAGTCGATGATTCTCCAACATTTGTTTGCACTTATTTTACAATTGCTGTTTAGGGCAGGTCACAGGTGATAATTCAGTACCACCTGCCACCTCCCCCTTTCATCCGTCATTATTTCGATACTTTTTCTTTTCATGTCTACTCGGACGAATTATTCTCATTTCTTTTATCTATTTTCTCGTAGGTGATGACCTAGGTTGGTGTGAGTACAATACTTCGAAGTATTTAATGCATGATTTTTCTTTTGATTTTTACTAAAAAAAATCCTATTAGAAACAATTATTCTCAATTCTTAATTTTCCCATTTCACGTCCCCTCTTGATTCACCGAATTATTAAGAATTGTCCACGTGATTTTTTAAATTGAATAATATTCGAAATTATTATTATAAATTAGTACTTCAATCATTTCGTATTGCAACAACAAAAAATAGTGTTAACTTCCGTCATAATATTTCGTTAAATAAATTTTAATGAAAATTTCGAATTAGGAGTACTAACTTAATAACACTTTAACGCTGCGTCGGCGAATGACTGATCATTGATCATTGAAATAATTGATTTGATGGTTCAGCTTGTCCATCGAGTAACGAGTACACCTGCAGTAACGGTCAATGCATACTCAAGTCCAGGTTTTGTGATGGATTGAGAGATTGTACAGATGGAACTGACGAGCCCAGAGGTTGTCGTGGCCGTTGTAATAAACACGAGTTCACATGTCGGTGAGTTTAATCGATCCAAAGCAATAATTCATCGTTAAGTAACAAGTCGATCCTCAACTTTGTAATCAATCTCGACTATTATTTATTACTATTTATGATTACGATTTATTCATCCGAAAATTCAATGGAATTCAATTATAATTGATTATAATTGATAATAATTTATTATAATTGATTATTGAAATGCCCGATATATTTTTTTGGAAAAACTCCAGGCCAATTATTCTTTATAATTAATAGGAATAATAAGTAAATAATTGTTTTAGAAATGGTAGATGCATAACGAGAAATTTCAAGTGTAACGGAATCGACGATTGCGGAGACGAATCGGATGAACAGCATTGCCGAGACCGACCAACTCCTTCCAGCATCCGAAGGCAAAGATGAACAAGAAAAAAAAGTATTAGCAAAAAAACTACGAGAGACTGTACAGTGGATTATTGCAAATAACTGTAAAAACGAGTACGATACATCAATTATTTTCATTTGATAATAAATAGATAAGAATATTAGAGTATTTAAACAAAACCAGAGGATTTCCTACTTTTTCAACGTTTCGAAAGGCTTTGTGATAGTTAACTTTAGACTCATCATTAGTAAATCGTTTATTGATTATTTTTTGTGTTCAAAAGGCCCGTCTTTTATATTTTCCATCAATCGACAACTTCCGGGGGTTTAATCGAAAAAAACTGGGGACCAACATTAATTTCGTATGAACAAATATTATCGGAAATTATGGAGACGATTCTGAGAATGTTTTCAGACTTTTCTAGATCATTTATTATTGAATTAACTAATTTTAACCTTATGAGTTTAGAATAGAAATTGAAAATTTAAGGATGAAAGAAAATGTTGACAATTTCCAGGGCAAGTGCTGCATTTATTCATCAATTCCCCAAATATTAATTTCATATTACACCTCAAGACCTGTTACCCACAAAAATGCCGATCCCCTTAGAAAACTAATTACGTCAATAATAAATTGAACAATATCGATTAGTTACATATCAATGTGTTCTCACATTAATTAAACGATCAGTTAATTGTGGAAAGTGTCAGTATTTACATAAATCATGTACTTATTAATGAATTGCTCTTTTTCTTCTCACAACAGCGTCACGAGACCTTACGAATAATCGTGTCAGTCATTAATGATTTATCTCTCTAGATTATTTCGTATCTCATTTCACAAAAATTCGTCGGGTTCTCTCGGTGCATCGAGGTCTCGATAGTGAATAACGGGCCGGAAGTCACCACCGCCACCACCACCACCACCACTGGAAATTGGCAAAAAAACCATAAAAACCATTAGCTTTATTTAATGTTTTGTCCCTTCGATTTTATTTCTCTCATTCGATTATTTATGTACTTTCAATCGATGATTTATCACGTCCATTGAAAATAAACAAATAAATATCCAAGTGTTAAATCATTTTATTGTGTCATTGTATCATCAAGAGGTGAAAACAGGAATGGAGGGGAAATTTTTTAATAAAATAAATTGACAGATCAATTACAACGAATACATTTATTTGTTTACCTTCGAAATTTGTGGTCTTTGAGTTGAATTTTTTTTACTTTGTATTTACATTTTTTTCCACTTGTTTTGTTTCATTTTATCTCTGGCACGTAAATATTCTCATGGAGGCAGCAGTTTATCGTGAACTTTAAGTGTAACAATTCATTAAAATGCCATTAATTATATAAAATTATGAATTCAGAAGCTAATGCCATAGCGAGCGATCAAATCGACGTAATTGCCGAGGAAATAATTATAATTGTTGATAAAAATGATTAGAAATAACGACTGCTGCCTCCATAACATCGAATATACGTAATAGATCGTTAGATCAATGTTCGAGGAATTTTCTCTCGTGAAAAAATTAGAATATATCGTCGCCTAAATGGTCCAGGTCATTATAACTAATTATTGGTCTCGATGTTGATTCTGGAGCGGCCCTGGAAGCATTATTATAAACCACGATAGAGAACCAGTCTCATTTTTCCCCCCAGGAATAAATGTAAAGAGAGGAATTAACAAAGAGGATGATGGATGATGTATTTTTAACATGATTTTTTTTATTTAGGGAGCACATGCTTAATGAAAAAATAGCCTTACCGTCCTCTGTTGAATCCACCACGATTAGGACGTGGCATTCCAAATCCACCACCGAAACCACCACCATAGCCACCACCAAATCCACCTCGTGAAGCTCCAAAATTTCCACCTCCAAATCCACCGAAGCTAGAACGATAATCAAAAACCAAACATAAATATTTTTAATACCAGTTCAATGGATTTTTCTCACGCGATTTCAGAACAATAATAGCAATTAATTAATAATTTTCTAGATTTTCAAAGGATTATAATGATTATTTTAATTCAATTATGATCTTGAATCATTTAAAACCATTTTTCAAATATACATAATAAAAAGCCAAAAAAACTTTACCCTCCAATGGCTCCGAAGTGAGGGAAATTTTCCCTGGGTGTTTCCCTAGGTGGTGCCTTATTGCCAGGATGTTCAGGTAGAATGGGTCTCTTGGGGTCCTTCAAATAATTATTAAAGTACTCGGCCTCAGCCTTGACCTCCGCCACCTTCTCTGCATGTTTATTAAAAATATGTTTTCTGATGAAATCGGGTCCCTTGAATTTTTTCCCACTGAGAGGGCACAACCACTTATCCTTGGACAACTCCTGAGTATTAGCCTGCACGAATTTCTCAACCTCAGCCTCAGCATCTTTAGCCCCGAGCTTTTCAAACTCACCAGATGGGACAGTAGCCACAGGAGCAAGAAAAGCCGACATTTTTCCTTCAAAATTTCTGCTATACTCCCCAAGCTCTGATGATGACACCTTGGCAGCAGGTGGAGGTCCTCTGACATGCATGATGCCACACCTATTGGGCATCTCGTCCTCATTAGGATATTCACAGTGATTATAGTAATCAACAGAGTGAACAATTCTCAAATAAAGTATCAATCGATCGAGAACTTTGATCAACGTTGGATCACGCTCGATGGGTCCCTCACCATCCCCGAGCTGTCCCTCTTCCTGATCCCCAGACATCCCAAGGAGTTCCTCCTCCTCAGCAGATGCCTCTTCAATCAAATAATCCGTTATATTCTTGAGCACTGGATTCTTGGAGGACAGGCCAAATGCCGCCTGCTCCATATCATTCTCCCTTTTCTCCTTTTTATCGCTCTCTTCACCCTTATCATCACTCCAAAGCCCCAGCCTAGTATCAAGATTATGAACAATCTTAGCTGACAGCTTTATATCATACCTAACAATCTGTTTGTGTGCTGTAATTCCATTGACAGTTCTGATTCTTCTGATTAAATCACGATTGACAATGGCCCCAAGCTCGCAGTCTCGCAATCTAATATTGTTAAGACTCCAGCAAATCTCCTTGATATTTACCTGACGTTCAAAGGACACCCAACCCCTTCTGAACCAGCGACGCTCCGGCTGCGGATCAGCAATTGCCACCCTGAGAAAACCTGGAAAGCGTTTGCACATTGCTTCGACCTCAGCTTTTGTTATCGTGGGGGCTAGATTCCTCAGGAATATGCTGCTGGTCTTGTGAAGGGCCCTGGGTTCTTTCTCCTTATCCTCGGAGGCAAGATCAATCACAGCCTCTGGTTCAGGCTCTTTTTTCTTAGGGGACGATTCAGCTGGGGGGGATTTTTTCTCCGGCTCCTGAGCCTCGCCCTCTTCTTCCTCTTTGCTATCGGATTTTGGAGGTTCTGTTGGCTCTGTTGGCTCTGATGGCTCTAAGGGCTCGTCGGGGACCTGTGGGGTCTCCTCATCGGGTTTTGCCTCTTTCGGGGTCTCTGGTTTATCGCTGTCTGAGGAGGAACTGCTGGATGACCAGGAGGAACTCGAGTTGGAGTCGGTTCTCTTACGCTTTTTGGGGTTTGACTCTGACGCATCGGTCGGCGGTTCCTCTGGGGGGTTGGAGGTGTCTGCTGGGGCCTCAGGCACTGGCTCGGAGACGTCAGTGGGGCCTCCTGGAGAAGAGGGCTTCATCTCGATGTCACCGTTCTGCTCGTCTGGTGCTGAAGGGTCTTGGTCCATTGCCTCTTGCGGTTTCTCTTCGCTGAAACGAGATAGAAGACGAGGAATCTTTAACAATTCATATTCCTGAATTTTAATAAATTACCTGTCGACTTTAGCTTCCTCATCTGGGGAAGACTTAGTGATCTCCTCCTTCTTGTCATCCTCCTCTGTCTTCTCCTCGACTTTCTCTTTCTCTTCTACCTTATCCTTCTCTTTTTCTTTCTCTGTCTCCTTCTCTTTCTCTTTCTCTTTCTCCTTCTCTTTTTCCTTCTCTTTCTCCTTATCTTTCCGCATGAATTCTCTCAGTGCTGGAATCTGAGGCTTCGAGTCTAGAATCTTCAAGTCCTCTTCAGTTCCACCTTCGAGTTTTATGACAACTGAATCCAGAAGATGGAGCAATACGTCTGACTGATCAGAATCTATCGACACTTTTTCGATTTGTCCTGAATTTAGAAGCTCCAAGAATACTTCCACACGTTTCTGAAATCGAATTTAATAGGTAAAAGAAGAATAGCACTAACAACAAATTACTGTTAAAATATTTTCAAAAACTAAAAAAATCTCCAAAAAACTCACCTTGAGCGCTGAAACCTGTTCGTCCTTTCTCTTAATCGACTCTTCAGGATGATATTTAATCTTGAACCTACCATAAAAATAACATATTAGCTCCCCACCAAAAAAACCCATCCCCAAACACCAGTATCAAAACTTTAATGATTAATTTCAATAGAAAACATCCGACATCATTAAATAATCAATGCATTGACAGCCAATGCCCACAGCAATAAAAAGAAATTAAAAAAAAAAATAAACAAAATCATTTGACTGATTAATAGAAAAAGGTAATGCCATTAATTCTGGATTTTTCGATTGAATTCATTAATAATTATGACTTAAAAACGTTGGATAATTCGTCAGGTACTTTGTTAATTGAGCCTCACCTGTTGATCATTATCATTTCCTACTGTATTTTCTCTCTACCCCTGAATTTCTATTCGATACCTATCATTAACGGTTTTAAAAACGCGGCCTAGACGTGCGAGCATTATTTATTCGTCGGGCTTTGCGCGCCCAGCTCGCTCATTTTAAATTTCATACCAATCCTGTTATAATTATCGATTTCACCAGACTCATATTTATCCCAAAAATGTTCTACAGAAAATTTGATTTTTCTTCAGTCTCGATGCGCGAAATTTTCATAATAAAACGGAGGCGATTTAGGACCGTTGACAGGCACTGCACGCTGTGGGGATAACATTTGTTAAACACTTGCAGAGCTTATATATTTCTTTTCAAATTTTTGTTTACATCTTAAGATTGATTTTTTATCTTATTTAAGATTCTGGGAGACGCTCAATGAAAACTTGATAATTTATTGAGTCATTGATCGAGTCATTGATGGGGTGATTGATTCTTGTGGGAATTCATTGAGTCACTCGTTAAGGATTTTTTTTTAATTAGAGAGAGGCGTTGGGGGGACTTACCATTCCTCGTCCTTGTGGGCTACGAAGAACTCGTTGAGTTGCTGACGACGAAATTCGAGTTTGTACTCGTTGTAGCGCTTTATTGCCTCCTCGTCGGTTATGGTGTCTTCCTGGGTGACCAGGAAGGCCTTGAATGTCATCATCGGGGGCTGAGTCTCTACGTTTGAATTGCTGAAGTTGCCAGCTACCTCTCGACTACGCATTAATTATAATTGGTTCTTTAAATATCTGTTGTTTGTAATTAACATCACAATTTATGAATTTCTCACAGTTACTAGATTGAATTTTGGAGTTTGAAGAATTAAAAATCAGCAAACAAATTTCATTGAATCTACCGTAAGGGGAAGATGTTTGAAATTATACCATTGCCGTTAAAATTCCCAAAAATGGAAATATCTTCAAAGAAGGAAATGAACAAAAACTCAATGTATGAATTATTAAAAATTCCTAATTAATTGTTACTGCACTTGTCAATTCAATTAATTATTAATCAATGGACTAAAAATTGATTGTTCGTTCGATTCTCGAATCTAATCAGTAATTATTCACAAATGATAATTCTCAATACAACATGGATTGATAAATTTACTTTTCAATTCACGAAATATTGTAAACAAAACAAGTACAAACAACGGATTATAATTCGTCGTTTTACTGAATGTCCATGAAACAATTCTCGCAGTATCCAAGTGTTAGTGTTATTTATTTACCGCATTTTGTGCCAAAAATTGGGCAGTCGAGCTCTACCACGAATCATTGATAACTATTAATGATGATTGAGTGAAAAACCATTAACACGAGGATGTAAAACAATTGAAAACGCACCTCGCGCTGCTGACGGTGTTGTTATGGTTTCCATAGTGATGATTTGGGTGATGAGGGGGTGGATAATGATCTGGACCCCAGGATCCGCCACCCCCACCTCCACCACCGCCATAATAATCGCCATGTGGATATCTTGAACCTCGATCGTCCCAGTCAGCTCTCATTCGTTTCATCGGTGGTCCCATGTCCTGGGATCTTCCTGGACTGTATCTCTCTCTGCCACCTCCACCTCCACCACGATATTCTCGATAATCTGGACGAGCTCTCGCTCTACTCGACCATTCCCTGCATCAATTCAATTAATTCTCATTATTATTAAACTGTTCCAGTCATTACAATACGAAAGTTCCTCCCTGGCGCTAAAAAATTCAATTTACTGTTTAATAAATTCAAAATTAATTAACGTACGCCATTGCTACAAATTTCCGATACGCATCTGAAAACAATTTCTCGAAAATCATTATGTTTTAATTAAAATTGAAAAATGTACAATTTAAATTAGAATAAATTTAGAAATTTACAAAAAAAAAGTATAATTGAATTTTCTATGGATTGGGATTGTCTCATTTTTTTTTGATGATCGATTTCCAGGAAATTAATATTGAGGAATAGATGATTTTATCACCTCTCGGCCCACTCATCCCTCCGTCTGTCATCCCTGCGTCCCTCTCTGGAATAAGACTCTGGTCTTTCCCCGCGGAATTTGTCCCGACGCTTCCTGTCGTACTCGTCATCAGAGTCTCCCATCGTTTGATAAAGAATCGAACGTCGAACACCTGAAATGAGAACATTGATAATAATTCTTTGAGAAACTGTTAAACATTTTTTAAAATATGCTGATATTCTTATATTATTTCATAAATATTCTTCCTTATTTCTTATCAAAGTCAGGACTACTGTAAAAGTTCAAAATAATGTAATTTCTCTCATCCATTCCAATGATTATTTATTTCGCCCAAAATGAGTTTAAATGAATAATTGAAATGGATTTTTTTCATTTCTCCTGAATTCACGAAAATTCCATCGGAAGTATTTATTAAAATTTTGGAAGAACAAGTGTTCCATAACGGTGACGAGGGAATGGTATAATGCATTCCACTTAAAATAAATCATCATCAACTGAGCCATTACCTGAATGAAAAAAATTATACTGATAATTCTTGATTACTCCCCCACTCAACCCTGACTTGAATTTTTAAGGTTAAAGGCATATACCCTGGGAGAGTTCCGGAATTCCTGAGGAAATTCCCCGGACCCCATCCCCTTTGAATTCCCCTTCAAAAATAAATTAATGCAATTAATTAAATTCCACGAAAACGCAATGCAGATTAATTACTGCTTCAATTGTTAATCAATTGTCGGCGTTCTGGCGTTCGATTTCGGTTTTCAAGGGTTTGAAATTGGAATGACTCGCGGAAGCAGAGCAAGCGGTTTGTGGATTTAATTTGATAAAATTTCGGTCTTATACTTACTTAGACAATTGTTGAGAGTGTTTATGCACTGTTTGTGCAATGATTTATTAAAAAAAAAACAGTTATAAGGAGTGAAGCGAAGGAATTTACCGTTCGGTAATTGACCGAATGGCGGACGTGTTCCCACCCTCGTCTTCCGCGCCAGCGTCTCCAGGCTTTTCCTAGTTCTAGAGACTTTACCTGAAATCTAGAGGGAATCTCCGAGCGCGAACATTCAAAATGGAAATCATTTTGTTCCATCAAAATTTCTGAAAATCGTCAATAAATTGCGGCACATGAATTCCCCTTGATAAATCCAAATCTAAATACAGATTAAAATTTCTAAAAATCATTCAACAAATTTAAAACTTGAAAAGATTCGGAATGCATTTTTTATCTGTAAATGAAATTTCGCCAAAACAATTACGGTGGACATCTTGAAGAAAATCTATACAATTCAGATCGCAGAGAAAAGAAAATCCCGAAATATATCGATGGGACGTATCGATAGAAAAATATTTCGATTCCATGGGGACATCGACTATAATTTATTGAACAAAGAGGGGTTAAAGATGGCGGCAACAAAGAACCAGCTCGAAGGCCGGTCTTCCACTTGTGTTCGAAAATACCGTATATTCGTTATTTTCGTTGGAACAATTCTGTGCGTCCAGGTATACCTCGCCTACTCGTTTCTCAGATTAGAGAATCAAACCGGTGAATCATCTCCAGGCTCCTCCAGAGAGGTGAGCCAATTTTTTCTGTTTACCCCAAGTGCTAACCTTCCCCAGAGGAAAATAAAATCAATGAGTGAAAAACCCCATGACTAACGAAGATATTTTCATTGAGATTGAGCCAGGTAAATCAGAGAGAAACGAGGGACTGCCCGAGGGCTCATACCAACTGAAATTACCACCTGACAAGCCACTTAATTCACCAAAAACGTCATCGCAGATTCATTCCAATCGGACAATTGTTAAATTGGATCGTCAATCGCTCAACTTTACGCCAATTTGCGATGTCACTGGACGTGAGGCTGTCAGTGCTGTCAGTAGGGCACACACTCAATTATGTAAAGAGACTATTGTCAATATTACCTGCATGAGTCAAATGGGAATGCTCTATCCAGAGCAGTTGCACTCCTCCTGTCCGCACTCAACAGGTTTCAGGGATATCCCTCGTAATTTGGGTTGCTTCAAGGATGATAAGACCCAGAGAATTCTCTCTGGGTATTATTCGATTTTGAAGGGCGTTAATTCACCTCAACACTGCGCTTTTCTCTGCTTGCAGTCTGGATATCCGTATGCTGGCACTGAATACTCGTATGTTTCATTTTAATATTTACATCCTCATCTTAACTCACTGATTAATTAACTCAATCAATAATATTCAACAATTAATTGATATTCAACGATATTTTCAATCGTCAAAAGTGTTGGACAAAAATTGGGAGTCGAGGTTTTTTTTATTTATCCGTGCATTTATTTATCTTTAATTATAGAATAGAATGTTTCTGTGGAGTGGAGGAACCTCCACAGACCAAGAGATTACCAGACTCTAGCTGTAACATGAAGTGTCCTGGAGATCTTAAACAGTCGTGTGGAGGGTATTTAACCATCAACGTTTTCAAAACTGGAATAAAAAGTTAATATCTTAATTAATACAATTTTTCGTGCTCAGTGTTACTTGAGAATGATTAATTTGGTGGTTCTCTTCAGAATTCAAAGCTCAAGAGGCACGAAACAGTAGTGTAAAGACTGGCCAGGAAACACCGATAAGGATAGCCTTCCTCTTGACAGTAAATGGACGAGCCAGTAGACAAGTTAAAAGACTGATTAATATTCTTTACGATCCTTCTCATTTTTATTACATTCATGTTGATGCGGTGAGTACGTAGAGTTAATTATTTTACAATTATAAATTTCCTTCATTTATATTCCCTGAAGAACTTCCTGGTGAATTTTCTGTCAATTTCCCGTGTGTTTCCTCGAGATTTTTTAATTAGAAAATTTGAGAGAAATAAACCATTAAATATCATTTATTTATATATCTTTAATGAATTAATTTCAGAGACAAGACTACATGTACCGAGAGATGCTGGAAGTGGAGAAGAAGTGTTCCAAGAAGAACATAAAAGTAGCAAAAGGTTCAGGTCTTCGTCACGCAAGTATCTGGGGTGGGGCAAGTCTCTTGACAACTCTCCTAACATCAGCCAGACAGATGCTGCAGCACTCAAAAGACTGGGACTTCCTTGTGAACCTGTCAGAGTCCGATTTTCCAGTGAAGAGTAACGCTCAACTGGTGGACTTTCTCACCCTGAACAAAGGCTTGAACTTCGTCAAGTCACACGGGCGAGAGGTCCAGCGTTTTATAACAAAGCAGGGACTTGACAAGACATTCGTGGAGTGTGAGGCCAGAATGTGGCGTCTAGGGGATCGCCAGCTTCCCAAGGGCATTCAAATTGACGGTGGTAGTGACTGGATGGCCCTGAGTCGAGATTTCGTCGAATTCGTGACTGATCCTCAACCTGATCCCCTCGTTAGTGGTCTCCTCCAAGTGTTTCGGTTCACTCTTCTCCCAGCAGAGTCTTTCTTCCACACAACCCTCAGGAACTCTATATTCTGCGACACATACGTCGATAACAATCTCCACGTGACTAATTGGAAACGCAAACTCGGCTGCAAGTGTCAGTACAAAGCTGTTGTTGATTGGTGTGGGTGCAGCCCCAATGACTTCAAACTTGAGGACTTGAATAAACTTCGAAATACTGCGGAGAAGAATCTCTTCTTCGCGAGGAAGTTCGAGCCTGTCGTCGATCAGAGGATCATCGACAAGATTGAGGAGTGGTTGTACCCCGAAAGGTACAACAACTCAATAATGAAGGGCTACGACAGATACTGGCAGAGTATCTATCACCACGCTGATCAGACTCCCCTCGTCGACGACACAGCCCTCACGATTTCGATCTCCCTCTCGAGAATAATTTACTCTAAATACGATACGATCTCCAGCCACATTCGCCTCCTAGAAACAACAGGATACTTCGAGAGCAATAAATTCAAGGCAATCCTGGTGCACGCCGAAGTAGATATCAAGGGTTTTGAGTCATCGACGTACCAGAATGATTTCCCGGAGAGAGTCGAGGGCTTCATCGTCCCCAGGCATCAATTTACAACGAGCAAAACGTGGTCACGACGAATTCGACACTTGGAAGTTAACACGGATTACGACCAGAAGGAGCAGATGTTCAGGAATTTCCTGGGTGGAATTGGCCCTCTCTCTAGTCCCATTTTATCGTACGAGTTTGAGGGTTCTCTGGTGACGCCCAGGAACCTCACCGTCCTGTGGATTGATCCCAGGGGGAATTGCGTGGACGTCAATCATTTACAGGTAGAAGAGATGTCGTTAATTGGGTCGTTGAAGCCTCAGTTGGAGGAGCCTCTGGTCATTGGGGAGTGGCAGGTGGTTCTCATGACTGATTCTCTGGTGGCCAGTCATCTCAGGTTCCTCGTGACTCCTTTCGCCTTTTGGAAGAACCGAAGGATCACCCCGAGAAAGGCCAGGGAACTGCACAATGGACCTCGAGAGAGGCATCGAGAGTATCCCGAGATCGACAGCAAGTGGCTGTCAATTCTCAAGGACGCAAATGTCAAGATAATAGGGGATAAGGACCACCGAAATTTCACGGAGAATAGGGTGGGGGTGGAATTAAATGCGTGGATTGATGAGCTGGTGGAGCAGTTCTACAGGGTCGACAGGATTTGCCTTGGGGATGACTCCAGAATTAACAGGACAACAAAGAGTCCCAGGAAATGCTCACTCTGTGATTGGAGCTCCATGAGTCCAGATCCTAAGGCTGATACTCAATATTTGGGGGGAATTTAGGGGATTAGTTGTATTATAAAGCCATTCCGATGATTCAGCGGTGGAGTGGAAGGCAGGGGAGAATTGGAAAAATTCTCCAGTTTTTTGCAGAATGTCTGTTACATTTTTTATGAGCATTCATGGAAAAACTAGAATTTTTTCAATGACAGTGAGAAAATTGAAAATTTTAGTAGTTTTGATGATTTTTATTTTTCGGCAGAACCTATTGTACAAGTTAGATTTTCGAAATATTTGGGTAGAATGTTGAGGCATGAAAAAATACAGAATGTTCATGTGGAAATAATTTTCAAGTAGAGATATTTTTTCGTTCTGCCACTCCACAGTTGAATTCATCATTCACGAGAATGAAAAATCCTAGCGCCTTTGTATAAAAACATCTTCGCATATTTTTTATAACTGGATATTATTACGATTGTATATATTGTATTTGTATTGAACAATATAACTACCTATATAAAATTTTTACACCATCCCTATCTTTTCTTCTCCGTCTTAAATTCTTATCCAATGCCCAATTTTATAAGAAAAAAATCTCAAATCATATGCGATAAAATCCCATCCGATTTTCTTAAACGAATGGTATATCACGTACAAAATTGTTTCCAATTAAAAGTCACACCTAATAAATAAACTATAAAGAAACATCAAATAAAAATTTTTAGATTCCACTTGACAAAAAATCCGATAGAACCTCTAAATAATTTCGAAAGACCAAAAAACGTTGAATTATATAAAAAAATTAAAAGGTTTTCAAAAGACCCGCCACCTGTCAACTCCGCCCAGGGCTGTCACCATTTCAAGCCCCCCAGTCCCCAACTCCAACCCCTAAATCACCGCAAGATCCCCCGCCCCATCTCCTCCCACCCCCTCTAACCCAATAATAACAATAATAACCCCTTCCCCACCCCCCGAAAACCCCAGAGCCCTAGTCATACCCGTCATACCCTAGGAAATTTTTCATGCAATATGTCGGCTAAAATGTTTTTGCGCGATAGCTCCCCCGTTGTTGGCTGATTGTGGTTGGTTGGTGGTAACACTTTTACCTCCGAAATGACTTGCTTATCGCACCCACAAGTTGCGCGATTTCGGCCTAAACAAAATCCAACAGTGACCAAGTAAAAACTCCCACGTGATCCCCCCCCAAAAAAAAAAACAAAATCGATCAAAGCCCAAGAGAATAAATCCGCCCAGTGTAACAAAAAACGAAAAATAAGCAAAAACCCAATTCCTCCAGTTGAAAAAAAAAAACACCCGGTGGGTGGGGGGTCCGAAGATAATTGAGGGTCTCCCAATGCGTGAAACAAGCACAAGAAGATATCGAGAGGGAGAGAGAGAGAGAGAGGATAATCGTGTAATGCAAACGAGTGTCTAAAAACAATAAAAATCGACTGGGGAATAAAACACCATTGGGATAAATTAAATGCAGAGTACCTCAACAATAGTGTGAACAGTTGTTCTACACGTTGGAATATAAATAAAATATAATTGGGTGGTACTTGTATTGGTGATGGGAGCTAAAACAAGTACAGTGGCACAAGCTGCTGGTGGCGATGGTCAATCGTCAACTGGCACTAATGACACTACTATCCAGGGTTTCTCGATACTGCGATCATTGCCAGGTGGTGTTGGTATGATACAACAGCATCAACAGACTAATCAAACACAATCATCCAGAGTACCTGGTGATAACAGACAGCGTGCTAGATCTTTGAGCTCAGTGCCTGATCTATCGTCTGGGGAACAGGGTAATTTAGGAAATTCCGTTGGGGTCAATGTTGGACAGGCACTTGGTCTTGCTAATCTCGATTCTGATGATGGGGATGAGGACAGTGGAAGGGTCTATGCTGCTCACAGTCTGCCCTCTCATATATGGTCTTTAAATGGTGAGTTCGTACCCTATTTTCAGTAGTAATGCCATTGCGAGGGATATCTCGGGAGCTGGGGGAGATAGCGATTTTTTTGTTGATAACTTTTTTGTAGATCTTGTCTCGATTTATATAAGAGGTCTTTAGCATAATCTTCGTATCTCTTTTAGATTCAGTGATATTCATTGAAATCTGAGGGCCAGGTTGATTTGGTTGATTACTTGAGATAAGTTTTCGGGGATTATCTTTGAATCTGAGGGAGATGGTGGGGTTTTTATGGGGACCTTTTTTCTAGCTCTCGTTCTGCCCTGCAAAAAAGGTTTTAAGAAAACTTTCGATATTTGTCATCGATTCTGAGATATTTCTCGAAAACTCGAGGAGAACAAATCGACTTGTCACTCTTTACTCTACTTTATCTCTTGATTTTTTATTTAATTGTCGAGGAGACGACGTTTTGGTGGAGGTATTGCTTCCAGAAGGTTCTGTGGAAGGGCAAAAAATAAAACTCCACTGAAATTTGGTTGCGGAATTTTTCGTAGATTGAATTAAATAATCGAAATTATGGGGCATTCATTTTGGCTCTCGTGGTGGCTGTTTCAATGAATATTGGAATAAGCGCAGTTTTTCATTCGGACAACGTGATAAAGGCCGATTGATCGACCTAGCTCTACCTGGAGACTTGAGTCATGCTAGGCTGGAGGTTAGGTCCTATTCAAGAGGATTCATGTTATTGTCAAGTCATTTCGATCAGGAGCTAGTGTCCTTAGTGCCCGAAATTTCCATCTGGCCATTATATTTTTCCTGACGTATATAATTTTTTCCCTGCCCCATCGAAATTTCATTTCTCGTTCTTATAAAACCTTCTTTTCCCCCAATTTTTTGTAAAGAAATCAGATATTTCATTCAGTTCAACCCCAGAGGTTCAATTTAATGAGAAAAAAATTCTTTTAGAAACGACATAGTTTCACGTGAATAAAAAAATATTCGCAGCAATTGAATTTTCAAAAATTTTTAATTATTGAGTCATTTCGTGTAGTTTGACAGAAATTTCGATAAGAGAAAAAAATAGGGGTGAGACACCCAAGGAAAAATAGACAGCCTGTCAATCTGATCCGTCTCTACGATAATCTTCGATTGGTCTTGGATGACCTGACCTAGCCCAACCCTGGAGATTGTCAACCCTGCCAACTGTCTTGAGTTTCTCAACACCTCGCTGATTATAGCCAAATGTCTTGTCATCGACGCCTCCACGACGCCACCACAAATCACATGCATAATACAAGAGTCCTATAGCTTTGACAGAGTGTAAAAGGGTTGAATATCTATCAACTTGATCGTGTAAAGAAAGGGAGTTGGATTGACTGTTTGAGGGCACGTATGTTGGCTGACTGTTGGCCTGGTAACGACGGATGTACAATCGATGCCACCCCTTCCATCCAGGGCTAGTTCTATTTTTTATTTTTTTGTTTTACAACAAACAGTTGGAGATTAATTCGTGGGTGACAGTTTGCTGATTCCTAGAGGGGGGAGAATTGTTCAGAAATTCTGGGAAATGGCTTCGATGGATTTGCCATTGGAAAATAAAATGGGTTAGAGCAGGTTAGCCTGGGGTTTAGCCCTCACAATATGGGGAAATGGGTGTTATTGTGAGCTCATGCTTGAACGAATCACAGACTGATGTTGTACCAACTCATCGTGTCAGACGTGTTATTTATGGTATTTTTAAATTGATTTGGCAGTTGTGTGAGGATATTGGCCAATGATTTTTCTTTATTTTTTTGTGTTCAAGGTCTCAAGTGTCCTGTGTGCTCCAAATTTATACTACCGGATGATATTGAGTGTCACTTAGTTATGTGTTTGACGAAACCGCGCCTTAGCTACAACGGTTTGTTGATTTTACATTCAATGACTTCCTTTTTTCTCGCTGGGCATTCTGTACAGGATGTGGCTTTTTTCAGAGGATGTATTAGCTGATGAGAAGGGAGAGTGTGTCATTTGCTTAGAGGAGCTACAGCCTGGTGATGTGATAGCCCGTTTGCCATGTCTTTGCATATATCATAAAAAGTAAGAGATTCGTCGTTTTATAGTTTTCGTTATTTTTCCCATTTTTCAATATTTTAATTTGACAATTTCACGTCATTCAATCCTGAAGAATTAATCCTATATCAAATTAATTTAGCTCTCCAGCAAAATAATGAGCAAAGGACAATAATTTTTTGTCATTGATATTTATCAAAATGTATATTATCGCTGGATATTCATTTACTTGAGATTTTATGTTTTGATTCACGCTGATATTTGGAATAATTATAAGAATGAATATCTGACGAGAAATTAATGTTCTTCTAAGTGGAGCGAATAATCTTGTTAATTAATTTTTCATTTCCAGTTGCATCGACAAATGGTTTCAAGTGAATCGTAGCTGCCCTGAGCATCCGGGCGATTGATTTTGTAATTGTTGATTTTGCGAGATTTTTAAGAAAAAAAAAAAGAAAAAAGAAAGAAAGTTATTCAGGGAAGAGCATATACGAAAGAGAGTTGAATTTGTACACATATATAAATACACACGTATATCCAACAGAGTGCATATATCGACGTATATAGCCCCACTATATATATGTATATACCTGTTTAATATGGAGGTATATACATATATGTAAGAATGAGATTACGTATTAGTGTAGTTTCATACCGCCGGTGGGATGGTGTCTCCTGCCTTTTTACTCAAAAGAAATAAATAAAATCATGAGGATATTTCATCGTGTCATCGGCAAGTGAACATCCCCGAGAGAAATTATATGATTATGTGAGAGAGGAATAATTGAATAAATAAATAACTAGTCAAGGTGGCCGCTAGTCTGCGATGGTGATTTTTCGTATACACGTGGCAATCGTTTTTCGATTTTTTATTTTATCTCATTTAATATGGAAAAATCTCGATTATCGAGCACTTTAGTGTGAGATATTCCACACCAAATGCGGCAACTGGCCGCAAATCCTTTCAAAATTTGTGGACACTTTTTATACTATTTGAAGGGTTCAGCGTCTATCTCTCGATTTTTTTTCACATTTTTCCGCCCACTGATTCAGAGAATAACATTTTTCTTACATTTTTTTCACATAATTCATGTTCTATTTCTCTGATTTGCATTTATTTGAAAATAAGTTGACAATCTTGAATTTTACAAAACACATAACTCCATTTATTTTGTTTTTAGCAATTTTTATTCTTGAAACATTTTATTCTATTGTCAATTGCTTTATCTCCGATAAATCGTTATTATAAACCTACTGTCAATTTAAAAAAAAAACCAACGACAAAGAAATGATGGTTTTGATGACTAATGAAAAAAAAATTCTAAATTGCATAAATAGGACTTGAATAATTGTAAAAAAAATGAAAATAAAGAAAAATGTGTCCTGGGCAGAACTAGACTTGAAGAAATGGGAAAAAAATGGAGAAATAATTCGAGCAATTCGCCAGTGCATTTGGTATGGACTACCTCACATCGATTACGCGGAAGAGAAGTGTCTAATTAAATCAGAGGATGACTATATTCAATAAAAAAAAAACAAACAAAGGGACTTACTAAATCGCCATACGATTCAGCGATGATAAATGCTATTATCTATACGTACCTATAATTATTCTATTACTGCTCTGTCGCTTACTATCGATTGTACTATATTTATAAAATTTCATTAGTTTTACATCTTCAAGTCGAATAGTGATTAAGAGGAGTAAAAGAGGAGGAAGTATAAAATGATATTCGTGATCACTGTTAATGGGTAACTATCATTTGTCGGAGGTACGAGAGGATGAGCATAACGTGAGATTAAAATGAGTGTGATTTTTTTGCCGCTTTCTGTACAGAAGCTGGTGATTGGAAATGAGGGAGACTCTACTCTCGATAAGTTAGTTATTAATTTTAACGATTTTACAAGTGATGGGGGACATTTATTGAGATGTAATGTTTTTTTTTGTTGCTCGTTGTGGGAGGGCAAGGGGATGTGGATGAGTTAGAAAGGATATTTTTGATACTTTCATAAATGGAAGGGATGCCAGGATGTGTAATCATAGAGACATTGGTGATAAGGACTTGTCATAAATGCTGTTGACACTGTAGTTATAATAAAGGTTCTAATTTAACCTTCTTTTTTGCTTTACTTTTTTATTTCGGCAGTGGTTAAATAAACTTATCGTGTTTTGTGGCTATTGGTATTTTGTGGTATTGATTCAAGTTTTCAGAAAATATAATACTGTTTTCGTATGATAGGGTATAATGAATTTTATGGAAACTGCTATTCAATAAAAACTTTTGGAAATTCGGGGTGAGTGATTATCCAAGCGAATTGATGAGGAATTGATAGAATAGAGGTATAAAAATTAAAAATTAAATCATCACTGAGTTTTCAAAATTTCTCTTTCAAATCAAATAATAAACTATTGAAGTCATGACAGGAACAGAAATAAAACAAGACAAAATAGAAAATATGTAAGAAAGTGATTTATTATTAATACATCTCCTCTACTGGACTTCTTCAAAAATTCATACTCAATACCAAGAAAAAAATACAACTCAATGGTCTTTCTCCTCACTGAGCCCAACACCTCTTCCTCCGTGATACACAACAGAAAATATATCTAGAACTGTTTATATATATTTGTTTACCTAAGTATCTCGATACAAATATAAGTCAGTAGCTGAATCAGCGAGTTATCCAAATTCAGTGTCAAAACAAAGATTAAATTCTCACGAAAAATCCAAAATAAAAATGAAAAAAATAAAGAGAATATTTCATTAACTGCATCAGAACAGTTCGAGTCGAGAAAACATCAGATATAAATCCATAAAAATAAAGAAAACGAAAGGAAACAGTCTCCTTAACAGGGAAAATTAAATAGAATTCACTGCACATCTGTGCGATATTTTTTCTCATTACGTCACCTTAAACATCTGTCAGAGTGAAAAAATTCTTTCCAACGTGTAAAAGAGAAAAAACTAAATAGAAAAACTATTCAACACGATTGTACATCTTCGTCTTCGTCATTTTCAGAATCGAAAGTATTTTACTCAGAAAAAAAAACTGAGTAAAATGTCGCAGTAGTTGGAAGAAAAGGTTTCGAATAATCGGAAATGAGTGGTGAGAGGAGATGAGGAAATTTCGCCAGTTCTCCATGAATATCTTTGAGGATCCAGTAAAAATATTCACAGATAACTAATCTCCAAGTCAATTAACCCCATCGCCTCTCAAAAAATCATTACAGAAATCAAGAACACATGGAATTTGTCTCATGACAAAAATAATGGTTAAACCTTCAAGACTAGTCCATTAATTCCACAATCTCCTCTACTCGACTGCACAGACAAGAGAAAAAAATTCTTCATGGATAAATCTCGGTGGAAAGCTTCTGCCAGTATTTCGACGTTAGAAAATAATAGTTTGGATGAATGGGAGAAAGACTGGTTATCATTGATGTTGATTGAGGAGGAGTGCTCGGGCAGCCATTGCCAGCATTTTCATACCCTTCGTTGTGCGAACATTTGGATTAGCAGCGACGAAAGAAGCCAGTTGTGTCTGGAGAGTCATCAGGACTGTACCCATGTGTTCACGGGTTACTGGATCAGTTGGATCAAGATTCAGAATTGCCTCCTCCAACCATCTGCATTAAAAATCAATCAATAAATTCACCGAAATAAAAAAAAAAAATGAATTACAGTAGATGTCAATTATCATGTCGAATTCAAATGGATAAATCATGAATTATGAATCAAATTTTTCTCTATTATTTAGAAATTATTATTGTGAACGAAAAAACTAAAACTCACTTATGCTTCAATTCCGTACGATGTCCAAGATCAGCACTCAGTTGCTGGACCAAGGAGAGTATCACAGGCTGCTGTAGTAGACATCTGGAATTTTGTCCAGGTGCCCCAGGACCGGGGAAAACCCTGGCAGGTTCAGTCTTTTCACAAACGTAAACAACGAGACCTAGGTCACTGGCACTGAGAGCCTGCTGGAAAGCAGCATTCAACTGTCCCCTCTGGAGTAGAGACATAACCCTGACCTGTGCATCAGCTGGACTGCTGACAGTAATTCCAGGTGTTGTTGCCCTCGATCTCGCTTGTATGTCAATCAAATGTTGCCCGAGATTATCTTTAACAGATTCCTTGACAGACCTGAGAATTCCATCCTGCAGACTTCCAAGTCCCTTCGTCATCTCCCTCCTCAATTCCTCCCTCACCAGGTTCGATAGGGCTTCACTCTGTTGTTCGTTTCTCCTCTGGCAGACCTTCTCCACGATTTGCTCGATATGCTGGAGATATTCTCTGGTTCCCTTGGCAAAGGCGTCCTGAATCTGGCGAAACATGGAGTGACAGGCTTTTTCGATTCCAGGGAGGAGAACATTCGAGAAGGACTCCCTGAAGGCATTGTCCAGGGCTGGCTTCGCTGAACTTGCCACTGACAGGGAGATCAGATCTCTCATGTGAGCACCTCCAATTAACTGTGTGAGATTGTCCTTGAGGAGTTCATCGACTCTCTTGAAGTCATTGATCATTTGATTACTCACGGGAGCAACGACTTCACTAACTACTCTAGGAAGTATTGACTCGATATTTTTCTTGAGAGCTCCCTCGACAGTCCCCAGAAAATCATTCTGACTTGCCAAACGAGTGTACAAGCTCTGTTCAATAGTAGCCAATTGCTGTTGTGTGGCTCTGGCAAGAGCAGACTCGACCCTCGCCGAAATGGGTGTGTCCTGCCTAATAGTTATCATCTCTCCTCGAATCTCGTTGAGCTCTCGCCTCTGATCCTGAAGAACCTGCAGAATTCCATCGAGCTTAGTCGACAGAGTATTAACAGCACTCTGAGTAGCCAGAATCATCTCCATTGACTTGTCCTCTCTCTTGATATCCCCAGGCTCCTGAGAATCTACCTGAACATCCTTTAACCTAACCATCGGAATATTCGACCAGTTGCCCTCATTCTTGATTTTCGCTTCAAATTCCTTCATCTCCTCTTCCTCGTCGTCATCATCATCGGGTTCAGCAAGCGACAGGATCTCCCTGACCTCTCGTGATGGACTGCTGCCACCACTGGGTGGTGCTTGCTCGATCTCACTGGTGGCAAGAGGTGCCTCCTGAATATTCAGTGCTTGAACAGCCTGAGAGAGAGATGGTGATGCTGACAGAACGTTACCCAGCTCTGGTGACGTCGAGCTTGAGATATTATCCTTTTTGGCTGGTGAGCTGAATGCATCAGGTGTCATAAGATTGAGACTCGTCGAGTGATTAGCCTCGATCGTAGCTGTCACTGACTCCTCACCATTGTCCTCATTGATGCCATTCTGCTCGTGATGAATGTGCTGGAGGTCCTCGGTGTAATCCAACGAGTCGTGGGTCAATGTGTCCATCAGGCAGGGATTAGATATGAGTTTTGCTGGCTGAAATGCGATGTGACACTCCTGTAGGGACTTTGGCTGGACTAGATACATCCTGATGACCATCTGATCCTCACATTCGTCCTCGCAGGGGCACAGGTCCTCCAGGGACTCCCCTGTTGGTCGAACTTTTCTCAATCCTGCATCGACGATGGCAAAACTCAGGATTGAGTACGGGAGAAGGAACTCTGATATACTCGCGACACAGGCCACTGAGTCCGTTGTGTTCTTGGAGAGGCTCAGAATGTACAGGGCCTTGTTGGCAATATCTGACAGCAGGAGAAAACCTGCCGCCAGATCCAGACCTGCTTTCAACACTGGGCTCTTGCCTCCTGTTGGCGAGGGCTGGAATTTTATCGTCTGCAGGCACACCCATTTCTCGCAAGACCAGATCTTGAGTTCGCTGTTGTTGTCACAGCCTGTTATAGCGAATCTCCAGAACTGGGCGTCTTCCTGGCAATTTTTGTGGTCGTCCAGGAAGAAGAGGGAGGAAATTGCGCGACCTTGGTGGGGCTGCCACATGTGCAGGCAACTTGGTGCCTCTAACGTACTACCAATGAGATTTACCTGAAAGAATTTGACTTCACCATCGAGACTAGCAGTGGCAATAGCAGTGCCATCAGGACTCAGAATAGCTTCGACGATGGCCCCTTGGTGCTTACAAATCTCAGTAAATCCACCGCAATTGACAACACTGGGATCACTGAGCTTGATAGGTCCTGACCCCAATTGTGTAAAGACACTGTCAACAGACCACAGCTCAGCACTGGCACCACGAGTGACGATGAGCAATTTGGCGGCGCCATCGCGTGATTCAACGTCATCGCGTGTTTCAACATTATCTCGTGTTTCATCATCATCGCGTGGCTCTTCGTCTGGAATATATGGGCACCAGATCACCCTGTAGCTCATAGGGGAAGCGTCTCCGGCAACGATGTGAAGCTGAAGATTGCAGACAAGTTGAGTTGTTGAGGAGACAATGGTGTGGACAAAAACACTCCCCAAGTAGTCGACACATGCCAGAATTGCGTTGGTGGAGTGGGCAAATGCAAGATCCTGAATTGCTCCCTGCATTCCTCGGAGAAGGGCTCTCTGCTCCAGGTCCTTGTAAACCACCCTTACCACTCCCGCTCCACTCCCTGATTTTATACCGTACGCCAGGTATTTTCCTGACATGTGGACTGCCAACAGCTGACCAGTGTAGAAATGAGGCTCCCATGTGAAGTCCACTATGTTTTTTAGTTTTACTTTGGAGCTGCCGTGATCGTGACCTCCTGGTGAGGGAATCACTGTCACGTCTGATGAGTAGATCTCCACTGAGTGCTGGTCCTCCGTTCCGTGTAATTCACTAGGCATTTTTCAATTGTAATAATTTATTTTTTAATTACTCAGAAGAAAAATATTGGGAATCAATAATTCCCCGGAGAAAGAGTAACGCTCAAAATTACTCATTAAAACCATCAACTGTTGATTAAATCTCCAATCCCCAGATGTTCTCAATTAAAATATCTCCCCCAAAAACTGATAATGGCAAAATAAAAACTTACAAAAATTTCCCTACCACCATTTCCAGAATTCTAACTCGAAAAAATCTATTTTTGGATTTTGGGCACCTGAACGCCAAAATCACCGCCATTTCACCACTTATTCATCATTCCTCAACCCTCATCATTACAATGAATAATAACCATAATTACGATATTTATGACTGTGGGACAGGCGCTTGACGCAGTGTGTAATGAATTTCGTGAGAAGTGTTATCTCTAGTTGAACAGTAGATTTTCGAGAATTCTCTTAACAAAAATTAATAGGTCGACGGGGGACGCAATTCCCAGACCAGAGAATATTAATTTTCTAATTAATCCAGGATGTACTTACACAGTCTGATGAAAGGGCCTGATGCCCTCTTCCCCGGTTTTGATCATCCCAGTGAATTTTCAGTCTCAGATGCTGGAAATATGATATTTATGGAGATTTCCAAGATATTTTCAATGGAGAATTCTAACCTAAATGCCGGTGGCACGCCTGACGCGACTTTTACGTCCAACGAGTTCCCATGAACTGCAGATTCACAAATTGACACTATTTTTACTATTTTCACTAAAATATCACTCACCTGCCAGTGGACCCTTTCTCTTTTGATTATGGATTATTTAATCAGTTGGAGATGGTGAGGTCATAATCGACGGGCATTTATTGTTTGGTGAATGAAAAAAATATTGTTCAGTAAAAAAAACATGGACTGGAGAATGTCATGGACGGTGAGCCGAAGCATGCGTTTTCATGTAAACGTTCATGACGGCGGGGTAACGCGTATTTGAGCCAATTTGAGTTGATTCTAGTCGATTTAGTCGGTATGAGTCGATTTGAGTCGATTTGAGTCGATTTGAGTCGATTTGAGTCATATCTGACTCATGACCGCCACTCCCCTCCACTTGTTTATGTATAATTCCCCTCCACCTCATTTTTAGGACAAACTCACAACCCCATGGCGGTCTTTTTTCGGTTTTTGTTTTCATATGAAATTTATTTCGCAAATGTACTCGTCCTGCAATTACTACGAAAAAATAGATTTCAGGTTGTCTGAAGATCTGGAGAAATATCAAAATGCTTTTTATTACTCTCCACATTGAAGGTTAAGTAATTTTCAATAATTTGATGTTAATTATTTAAATGGTAATGATTCTCTTGAATAATGTTTGAGGTTGAATTTGCAGCATCCGGATTTCGTCGAGAGATTCACTTTTCCCGAAGAACTTTTCGAATTATTTTCACTCTCAATGTGTATTTTACAGCTAAAACCCTTTGAGTTAATTCGAGAATTCGTTTTCTCAATTGTTGTAAACAAATTGTTCTTTATCTTCAGGGCATGCTGAAAGTTCTTTTCCAAATATAAGATATTGTCCTGTCAATTTTCGGATCATGAGTTTCTCTTATTCGCAAGTATTGATAAAAAAAAATAGGAAAACTCGAATTTCCATTGGATAAGTTTGAAATGACAAGGTCATTGTACACAGTGTAGAAATCAGAAGGGAGACATACGATACAAAATATAAATAAATCAATTACGAGGCTTTCGAATTAGTTTGTCGTTGACCACAGCTACGAAAGGTAAAATTTTTGTTTACGTCCTGGGGAGCATCCTATTCCCGTAAGTGATAATCAATTAATTTCGCTGTTCCCATCGACTCTTATTATCTAAAAACCATTTCAACAATTTTGCTCATTCGTAACAATTAATTAATTATCTGATCAGCGACTTCGTGCTAACATTTTTAATAACATCTCAATTATTCGTCGAAATGATCATATTTTAAAAAATACCATAAACTAGGAGAACACTTTTATTATTGCCTATTCATTTATTATTTTCATTCATTCACAATAATGGTAATAATGAATTATACGTATGTACGTATTGGCGGGTCTAAACATGAAGTAATTACACAGTGGAAAAGTAACAAAAATAAAATAGTCTCTGCGGTTTGTTTACACGGATGTCCTTCAGGTGCCTCCGACGAAATATGGCGTTATCGTTGGCAATTGCCCTGGCAGGATTAAAAGTTGAAGACTTCAGTACTCTCCTGACACATTTAAAGAGCGATCACGATCTCCATGATGGAAGATCATCTCCGAGCACAAGAAGTGATTCCAGTGGTGTCAGCAGTCTGGAGCCTTCCTCGAGGTACACGACTGCCACTTCGACGCCGTTTTCCTCAAGACCCGGAACGCCAAATGATGATCAGAACATCATCGGTCACGATTTGCCTAAAGTACCGTGGAAAAAGGTGTCGGTTATTGGGAGTGGTCGCAAGAATCAGAAAAAATGTCAGGACACGAAGGAAAAGTTGTTATCCACTCCGGAACACCAAGAGGAAACCCCCAAGAGGGATATACTCGATCTTATGAGCAACATCAAGTATTCTGAGTGGAGTATCAGACATCCCGACGTCTATACCAGCAGTGTTCGCAATTTTATGGAGAATAGGTCTGTTTACTTTCGACTCAGTGATGACGCACTTTTGGAGGATTATCCAGTTGTAAGTGATAAATCGTTTGTAATAGAAAATGGTTTCAACTTTTATCGATAAAATCTTTGCGAAAATTTACAATTTTTTTGGATCAGAATTAATATTAATTAATGATAATTTGAAAACTATGAAGATCTTCTTTCAATTGAAATCCAAAATGGAAAGGATTTATAATAAGAATAGCAATTAATCCCTTCGATAATTTATTAGGCCAATTATTTATTAGATGAATGGAATTCGGGATGGAATGAATAATAGTTTTGAAGGTAAAAAAGAAGTTAAATAGAATTATTCGGAACAATAATTTATGAAATCAAGTTGAAATCAATGCAGATCACTCAATTTGCATCAATAATATTGGCAAAAATAATGAATTATTATTTCCTTCTGTTTCAGAGAGAATGTAAACCCTGTAATTTTCGGGAGCCGTCGCCCTATTTATGCAAATGAATATTGTGACATTATATATCAACGACTAAACTAAAAAAAAAACAATTATAGAAACGTAAGCGGCAGCCGATTAATTAGCGGAAAATAATTGACAAGAGGTGACACGATAAGAGATAAGAGAAACTAAATAGACGAAGATGTTAAAAATGCATCCAACAATGTGATAATGTAGATATTTAAGAATTTTTTTAAGCCCGACGATGATTGTCTGTCTTTTTTAATTATTCATTTTAAAGCTTATAAAAAGGAGTTTGAATTTTCCGTGAATCGGTTACGGGTTGCAGAGTACTGATTAGATAAGTTTTTTTTTTTCCAATTACTTTGTATTTTGTCCAACTGCTCACCATTGCATGTTACATTTAACTATTCGAATGTAGCGTCATTATTTCTGATATATTATTACCAATATGTGACCATTGTTTATCGATATTAATAAACAATTGTTATATTGTAATTTGACAATGTACAAGCAAAGAAATTCGATTGGAAGTTCAAATAAATTGGAAGTTTCGATTAATGTATTTTAAAAATATGAACATTTTTTAAGATTTTAGTTAATCCTCAAATTTCATGTTTTTCTTCCTCAATCTATTCAATTCCACTCCATTCAATGACATTCTCCTGTAGATTATCGAATAACTATTCTTTATATTATTATTCATTATTGATAGTTGTCAATTTTTCAATATCAGTCTCAAAATCAGAAAACATGTTCCAATAAGAAATTGTATTTATGGATGACATAACTCATGATATACATACTTTTCTATATATTTCCATATACTGAAGATACTATGCATCATATAATATTTCATATCAAATAATATTTATAGGTATTATTACATATATAATATTCTGAAAACGTTTCAAGTTTTCACTTGGTAAAAAGTAATTTTTTGTAGAAAATTTTCCCAGAAATTTATCCTCGAGAGGATAACTTCCCATTACAGTCCCATGAGATCTCCGCAAGTGAGACTGGTCTTCAATATATTCTCAGTAGTGGCTGGTCCATCTGCAACGACGAATAATTAAATAAATAACAGAAAATATATCCATACAATCTGAAAAATTGAACTCACCAAACTCATACCAAGGCTCGGTGTTTCCGGCATCCTTTCTCGCTGAATTCAGGGCATTTCTCAATGCTAGTAAAACACTGTAGCTCATGCAGAGTGGCGGTTCTCCGATTGCTTAAAAATACCAGTAGAAATTATAAACATTCAATCAAAAATATAAATTTCCTCTGTACCTTTTGAACGCAGCACTCCCACAGGATTTGGCGATTTTTTTCTAAACGCAACTCTAAAATCGACTGGGATATCCTTAGCACCAGGTGGTTTATAATTCTTCAATGAAAAGATAAAAATCGTTGTAAAACAACGGATTGAAATTATGAATAAACAAACTCATACCCAAGTTCGATTATTGACGAGAAGTGCATTCTTGGGATTGTAGATGAGATCCTCAGATGTCCAATAACCCGATCCCATGACGAAAGCCCCTTCCACCTGTCCTCTATCGATCTCTGGATTCATACTTATACCGACGTCCTCTAGGAGATCGACACGACGAATGATGTGTTGTCCTGTCAGCACATCGACTTCTACTTCAGTAACAGCTACAGCGTAAATTGGATAGCCTCTCGAAGAATCAGCTGGTACCCTA